GGGAAGGTGGTGTGTGTGTGTGTGTGTGTGTGTGTGTGGGGGGGGTTTCTATGGGACAGATCACTGCTCCCTCCCCACTTGCTGTCTGACTCGTCTTTCCCCCAGCAGGTGCAGGGGTCCTGGAGCCCAGCTCCGGGCGAGCCGGCCAGCATGACCCGAGGTGTGGGGCTAGACGACGAGCTGCCTGACTGGGCCGGCGCCAAGGAGTTCTACCAGAAGTATGACCCCAAGGACGTCATCGGCAGGTGGGGCAGGGGAAGGGTCTCGCTCCCTGCTCGTAGGGAGGGTTTTTGGGGGGAGGAGGGGGGCTCTGTGTGCACGGGGATGGGCAGCGAGATCTGTCCGTGATCAGTGTGGTGGGGGGGGAGGGGCTGTGGGTGTCAGTCTGTCTGTCTAACTGGGGTGCCTGTCTGTGGCAGGTGGGTGAGCAGGTGATGTTGATAAACTGGAGAGGTTAGAAAAGAGCCACGCGAATGATCAAAGGATTGGAAAACCTGCCTAATAGTGATAGACTCAGGGAGCTCAGTCTGTTTAGCTTAAGAAAGAGAAGCTTGGGGGTGACTTGCTCACAGTCTATAAGTATCTATGCGGGGAACAAAATTGGATGATGGGCTCTTCAGTCTAGCAGAGAAAGATCTAACACAATCCAACAGCTGGAAGTTGAAATTCTACATCTTACCTGTAATCTGAATTTGTAAACGTTTAACAGTGAAAGTCATTAGCCATTGGAACGAGATGATCACAGTGGTTCCGTCTGGACTTGGAACATATGAACGGACAGGGTGTGGAGGGCTGTGGGTGTCTGTCTGTCTCACGGTGGTGTTGGTTGGTCTGTCCATGGCAGGGGCGTGAGCAGCGTGGTGCGGCGATGTGTGCACAAGCAGACGGGGCAGGAGTTTGCGGTGAAGATCATCGAGGTGACCTCGGAGCGCATGACCCCGCAGCAGCTGGAGGAGGTGCGGACCTCCACGGGCAAGGAGATTGCCATCCTGCGTCAGGTGGCAGGGCACCCCTACATCAGTGAGTGACACCCTCCATCCCCCCGGGACACCCCATGTCTGTAAGTGGGTATGTTTACACTGCAAAAAACGGGTGGTCTTGAGATCATGGATTCCAAAGCTAGAATGGACCATTGGGATGATCTAGTCTGATCTCTTGTATAACACAGGCCAGAGAGCTTCCCTGAGTTATTCCTTATAGAGCAGAGTGGATGTTTTAAAAACAAACAAACATCCAGTCTTGATTTAAATTTGCCACTGACGGCGAATCCCCTGTGAATTTTGGTGATTCGTTCTAATGGTGAATTACGCTCACTGTTAAACGTGTCCGCTTTATTTCCAAGCTGAATTTGCCTAGCTTCAGTTTCCAGCCGTTGGATCGTGTTAGACCTTTCACTGCTGGATCGCACTGGGAGCTCATGATTAGCTGATTATCCATCATGGCCCCCAAATCTTTTTCAGAGTCACTTGCTTCTCAGGACGGAGTCACCCATCCTGTAGCATGGCCGACATTCTTTGTTCCCAGATGTACATTTGACTGTAGTGAAACACACATCGCCGCTTGCACCCAGGGAGCTGTGAAGTAGAGGTGAAGTTTTAACAGCTCAGGTTGAAGCCTAGAGGACTGGAGTTGATTTTCCCCCTGCTAACCCAAGTCACTCTGTCTTCACTGCTAGTTTAACCCCAGTGAAGAACACGCCTTTTTGCTGTGCCTCTCTACCCAGTGACACCCTCCAGCTTTCCTGGGCACCCCTATGACAGGAGGTCCCACCCCTGGTACTACCCCCTGTCACATACCAGGATGCAGTCCAGACTAATGAACAGCTGTGTCACTCCTTCCTGCAACCATGCTGAAGTGCCTGCCTCCTGGACTGCTTACAAACAGCATGCAAGTCACACCCTGTGTGTCTGTGTGTAGCAGCAGCCTGCCAGCCACACCTGGTTACACTCTGGCTCTCACCAGCCTGGGTTATACTGCAGGGTGACCCCCAACACCCCCCCAGTTTTAAGATTTCTCCCCCAGAAATGTATGTCCTGTTGTGCCCAACCCTCTCCGGGACACTACAAGTTACATTAAGTCCATTATTTTTTTAATAGGAATAATGCACACAACTTGCCACCCCAGTGGAGTTTCCCAGATACATCACTTTAAACATACTGGATTAGATAAAATCTCTCTCTTTGTACTCATTAAACTTGTGGTTGTTTTTGTTATTGATTTTAAGTGAGTACAAGTAATGAGGCATAAAAGTCAGAAATGCTTACAAGAAAAATAAAGATAAAATGCAACTGGAGGCTAACTTAACCTTGCTTTGAATTTAACAGTTTGTTTTCTGACCACGTGCGCTCAGCAGTTTGACCAAACTTCTTAGCTTAGGACCCCTTCTGCAGTCCAATGGCTGCTTCCTTTGTCCCTTTAGGTGCAGAGAATCGATGGGCAGAGAGAGAGAGAGAGGGATGTCTTGGGGTGTTTGTCCCTCATTTTTGTAGTTTCAGTCGCTCTTTTGAAAAACATTTCAAGCTTGGTTCCAAGAGACAAAAAGTCTGTGTGGAAGGATGTTCCCTGCTGCTTTTTTCTCACCTGTTTGAGCTTCCTTTGTTTCCCTTCCTGCTTGATGACTCTGTTTACTGCTTAAATGCAAATTAAGCCGAGCACCCTTTCCTTTGTTTGTGATAGACCTGTTTGCCAACCTCGGTTTGGAACATGCGTTAATAACACCATACGGAGGAATGTTATAACGTAGAATATCAGAGAATCATAGAATATCAGGGTTGGAAGGGACCTCAGGAGGTCATCTAGTCCAACCCCCTGCTCAAAGCAGGACCAATCCCCAGACAGATTTTTGCCCCAGATCCCTAAATGGCCCTCTTAAGGATTGAATTTACAACTCTGGGTTTAGCAGGCCAATGCTCAAACCACTGAGCTATCTCTCCCCCCTAACTTCACATACAATATTTCCACACACATTTTATCAGGACGACAATGATTAGCAAATTACGAGTTTTCAAATGATCCCTTACAGGGTGTACTTTTTACAAAAATTATGACAATAGTGTGTAGGGTGTGACTACAGAAGTACATTCTGTCACACCTCTCCCTTTACAGAGCTACGGTGAGATTAGCCACTGGCTGACCTGGAGGCAGCAGGTGAGGGCCCTCTTTCTTGGATAGGGGATCTTCCACCATGTTTTCCTTTCCCTTTATAGGTACAATTTCCATATCAAATTCTTGGAGTATAAGACTCCAACAAAGAAGCTTGGAAATTTGAACGTTTAGTTTTTTTAACCAGATTAATGGTGAATGATCCATCAATACCCTGAATTTTCTGTTAATGAGATAGGCAGTCAAGCAATTAAGGGCCTACACTGTAGCATAACGTTCTTTTTCTATGACAGAATAATTTTGTTGGTGGGTGTCAGTTGTTTGCTGAAGAAGGTGATGGGATGTGTGTTGATGTGTTTTTTTCCCCCATGTGGATCAGCACAGAGCCTAGACCAATGTCTGATGCACCTGTACAGAGTTCAAACATTTTTGTCAAAATCTGGACTAGCTAGAACAGGCTTTTTCGGACAAGATTTTCTTCACCTTATCAAAGTCCTCTTGATGTGCCTTCGTCCACACGACTGCCTTAGGTTTATTTGTTTTTACATAGGTCTGGGATTGCAGATACAATGGCGCTGAACCCACGCACAAACCTCAAGTAATAGTTTACCAGACCTATGAAAGCTTGGGTCTGTCTTTTGGTTTGAGGTACAGGCCAGTTTCCAGTGGCTTCAACTTTTAAGGGCTCATGGGATATGTGACCTTCCCCCTTCCCAGTGTTCCAAAGAAAGAACTTTGGCTGCTCCAATTTTACACTTAGAGGCTTTTATGGTTAGACCTGACTCTTTGAGCTTTGCCAGCACAACTTCTGAGAGTTTTTTTGTGATCACCCCAAGCGTTGCTCAACACTGTGATGGCCTTAAATGGTTTGCAGAATTCTGCAAGGGCCTATGTTAACACTTGGTTGACCAGCCTCTGAAAGTTGGTTCCAGCATCCATCAACCCAAATGGTACCATTATGAACTCAGGTTTCAGAGGGGTAGCCGTGTTAGTCTGTATCAGTAAAAACAACGAGGAGTCCTCGTGGCACCTTAGAGACTAACACATTTATTTGGGCATAAGCTTTCGTGGGCTAGAACCCACTTCATCAGATGCATGGAGTGGGAAATACAGTAAGCAGGTAGAAAGGAACCAATTCCTGCAACAAACCCCGTTGCCAACTCTGTCTGCATATCTATTCAAGGGACACCATCATAGGACCCAGCCACACCATCAGGTGCTCGTTCACCTGCACGTGTACCAATGTGATGTATGTCATCATGTGCCAGCAACGCCCCTCTGCCATGTACATTGGCCAAACCGGACAGTCTCTACGCAAAAGAATTAATCGACACAAATCAGACGTCAAGAATTGTAACATTCAAAAACCAGTCGGAGAACACTTCAACCCCCCTGGACACTCAATAACAGA